GTTGGGTGGGTAAGGAGGGTTGGGGGGGAGGGAGGGAGTTTGACAGATTTGAGATCAGATGGCAGCAACTTTGAAATAGTAGGGTCTTTGCAAATATTCCCATGGGAATAAAAATCCATTGTGAAAAATCCTCCACATCTCTGAAACTAGATTTAAGTCTAGCGTTCTTTTTCAAAGAAAATAATGTTTCTTAAACTTTCTGTTTATGCACCCTCAGCAGCATTTTTCTTGGAAACATTAGGGCTTTATTATACCTGCCTGTACACAGGGTTTGCAAGATGAGGATGGGACATGCAGAACCCTCTCCTTCCATGAGTAACTGTCTGTCACAGTTGCACATTCTGAATTCCCCCTGAGGCTGTACAAGACCAGTGCTGCCACTGGCACCAGCACTCCCAGAAAGTGAGGGGGTCATGCCTCCCTCGCCTCCAGGGTCTCTGGTCCGGCACTGCAGAAACTACGGATGAATACAAAATGTTGGCAGAAGCTGCACAGAATGTAAGGTTTTTTCTCCCCTTTTTGCCAGACTGTTCTGCTTTTCCAATATAGCATATGCCATTTATTGTTGCAGTACTGGAGTTCAACAGGTAGGTTGCTTCAACTAACCAAACTGGATGCAGCCAACCATTTAAATTTCTATTAATTTTTAAAACTAGTAATGAGATTCCTTTCTGATATTAATGCTTCATAACTGGCTTCCAATAAATAAGAACGCAGTACGTATCTGATCTACACAGATGAGCAGTTGTCATTCCACTATTACTGTAATCTACCTACACAACAGAATTCTCTGTTAATATTCACAGCGCAGCTTTACAGACTTACGGCGATGCCATAGCTTAAATCAGCTGAGGGTGATTTAAACTGGCTTATAATTGTGAAAATGGGATTATGTAAAAATCCTTGATAACTACTTTAGAAGTATGTGTGTATGTACAGACTTTGCTTAAGACCTATGTAGTCAGCACTCTTCCCCTCCCCCCCAGTTAAGATACCTCCATAGATTTCATTCCAACAGGTACGTTGGGTTTTTAACACTGAGGAGACCTCTGTACTCTTTAGGAAGACTCAAACAAATTACACACAGTAATACCTGTTTGAAAGCTCCCTTAATCTCCTTAGTTGACAAAAAGCCAATGTTTCATTCATTTTTTTTTAATGCACAAGAGGCTAATATTGCTTTCATGAAATGACTGCTAATGTACAAGAAACGCAGAGAGTTGTGTTGTGAGACAATCCCATGATACACGTTCCAAATCATAGTTTTGCTGACCTTGTGAGAAATAAGAACATGTAAAACCACAAGAGAAAACAAAATCAGGAAAGTCTAAAGAAATGCAATTATTTTGCTGCTGGTTAAAAAGATCAGATTCTGTGTTACATGTCTGAGCAGATATGAGCAGTTGTCTACAAGTGGGAACAACAGAAAACATATCTGAAAAACAAAAAGAAAAATAATTCTTACCACTCATGGTGATTGTCTACAAAAGCAGACATGGGACTTATTTGTACTGTATAGGTATCATTGGCTGAATATTCAAACAAACCATAATATGGATTGAAGAGCTCTCTAGACACCAGGAAAAAAAACTCTCTTGAAGGTCCACTGTAGTCCAACCTTTAAAGAGAAACTTGACATTACTATAAAGTGTTCATTGTGTGCAAAGAAACGCTCTTTTGAATCTACATTCCTTACACTATATTTTAATTAAAATTTCCTAAGATTTTAACCAGAACCCTTATCCTGCAGATTGCTTAATGCCAAGGTATGTGAAGCCCTTGCGGGGCTATTCTGAAATGGAATGGCTTGGAGGACTGGAATGAAGTGCTCTATGTGGGCTGCTCTCATCAAAAATTTTGGCTCCAGCTGTAACGGCCTCTTTGCCACAGGAATATTACCAAATAATTGGGGGCGGGGGGGAGGAGGAAACATGAAAAGAGCCAACATTAGACCTATCTGCATCTGACAAATTAAGAATGAAAACGAACAATGGTCATATTTTGTCTTTGCAGACTTGCAACAATAGGACAATTTGAAGGATAATATTTCTGTTTTCCCTAGCAGTATGATCTGAGATTACTTCAGTGATTTATCTTTCTTGGTCTAAATTTTCTTGTATGTCTTCCAAACTTGAGTGCATTTAAATGTCTTTTGGAGAGTGCACTTCCTTTGGTTTTTTTTTGCTATTTTAAGATTCCAGTACTAATGAACAAGGAATCTAAATAACCCCTTCTTCCTGAATCATAAACAAACTCATTGCTGACAAAGCACTGAGACTGAATTTTGACATTATGCTGCAGGTCACCAGTGAAATGAGTTAAGTATGAAGTTAATGCTCTGGTAGAGCTGGAAAACAGAAAACTCAGGATTTTCCTGTGCGGAACAAAGATTATTATAATCCTAACAAATAGATATAAAGATATATCTTCTATAGATTGAAGATTTCATACTTGACTTTTAAGAAGGTCTTGCTTTAGTACTTAAGACAATGCACAGACAGAAGTATCACAGAGAAGGTCAGCTTTCACATAGGACTTTTGCTACTAATGTTTTGGCTCACAAACTTTTACAGAAGACAAACACAGATGAGAGTTGTTTTTGAGGATGAAGTTGTCAGGAAAGTAAAAGCTAGGTACCAGGAGAAAGCCTCTTTCCTCTGTTGAATAAAAAACATTTTCCCTTCAGTCATTTGGAAGCACTTCGCTTCTGTTAAGCTTCAGAAGTGAAGTACTGAAACAGATCCTTACCCTGGCAAGAAGGGCAGATTCCATCCTCAAATTGCAGAAAAAAAACCAAAATGGTTTGATATCATGGACAACTGTTGGATCTTAATCTTGGCACAAATACCAGGATCAAGTAAAGGGTCATCTGGAAGACTCTTGCAAACTTCTGGGATAATCAGACTCACTATGAAATCTTAAGACTGAATAGAACCTGTGTGCTTGACTACCAGCCATTTCATACAGCTCCTTTTGTATGCAGTTACTGTGAGTCATGTTAAATAAATCAATCATGAGAGTCCTGCACTGCCAGTCAGATTTATCCCACAATTAAAGGCTTGGCACAAGGGTGAGAAAACTTCACACAAGAGGTATGCAACCACACAACAGCTGCAACTGTGGGGCATTTGGGTATTCAGGACTAGAGTAGTATGTTGTTGGCAACATGACTCATGTCTCCTAGGAAGCACCATTAATACTTCAGATTTACCACTCATAAATGCAAAGCAGCTTCTGCTAACAGTTAATAGAACTTAGGGAAAATAACTTCAAGGAACCATATTCTTTGTATCAAAATTTTCTTCATTTATCGCCACATGAAGTATGAATGTAAAAACATTAAACTAGCATCACAATTGCATGACTGTAGAAATTGAAGGTTCAAGGAAGACACCAAACATTATGAGACTTATGATAAAAATCATATAAACAGCAGTAACGATGTCTGAGTTGCCCCACTTACTAATTTATACACTAATAAATCAATAGTTACTAAAATGTTTTACTTTGTGAGGATTTCACTACCCATTACTTTAAGACTTACACCTCTTTACCGAGAGGAAAAAAAATGCAAGAGCAAACTCCCACTTAAAAACTTAAAAAAGGAAAAGGAGGAGCAAATAGGAAACAATTAACTTTCAGTATTCCTTCTCATCGTCCTCCTCTCCTCCATCCTGACCTGTCTTTCTACACCTAGCCAAATGAATAGTTTGATGTGATACATATCCTTGCACCACCTCTGATGAAACAATACTGCCTGCACACATCCTTTCTTCATTCAAAACACAGATTTGTAAATAGAGAATTGACATCATTTTAATTTGACTTTGCTCTTAATTAACTCATTCTTTTCCATTAAGAAGAGAGTCTTGTATAAAGCTGCATGTAATGGGAACAGGATGTGTGAGCCCCATTTCCAGGTCACTCTTCATCTTGCTGTACTGAGTGATGAAATGCAAAAGCCTGACATCTGATGAAAGGAGACAGTCTATCTGGATCAATCTCTCTCTCACGTATGATTTTAAAATTTTCCCCTTCATTTTTAAATCTGAGTCGAGGTTGTAGCTGTGAAAGTAAAGGCTGGTAGGGCTGTGTAAGACAGGCCTCGTTCCTGCATCCCCACCCTGCTCTGTCAATATAATGTAATCTCATCCTGCACCAGCCTTGTCATTCCAGTTCTGAGTTTTTCCTCAGACAACATGGTGATATTATTTATATGAACAAGTCCACACTTGGCTCTCAGCTGTCAACATTTTTTATTTTAAGACTTCAGTGAGTCCTTATTAACACTAAGCACTTCAGGGTGAACTTTAAACAAACAACAGGATTTAGGGGTTTTCGAAGACAGATTAATTTTATCTAATCTTGTATGAGATGTTTCTATTATAACTTATCTATTTTAAAGACTCACACATCGCATGGCAGTAATGCACACTCCAAGAGCTGTGTGCTGCAGTATCCTAAATATCAAGGAGTAAAATTTTGAATGTATTTACAAATACATTCATGAAATATATCAATAAAAATATTTGTGCCTAAAGCAGTAGGCTTTAAGATCTGACAATGGGGGCCCAAATCAAGACATGAAAGAGGCAAATAGCACATTACTCCAGTTTCACTTGCAAAGAAAATCTAACCACATCTTGCTTTGCAATGCACGTCTCGCAACCTGTAGACACAGACTGAGCCATCTCTGAAGTGACTTTGAAATGTCAGGAATATTTGTGTTTATTTGACAACTGGCAACAGCCTAGTCGCTTTTATTTGTGACGCAGGCCCTGCCTGAGGAGGCAGTGAGCACCTCCTAGAGTACCGAGGGCTTTCAGCTCCCATTGCCTCAGACCAGAGTCGAATTAAGGACCGAGCCTCTCGTCTACTCTTGAAGCACCCTCCCTCCAACAAATGGCAGCTGTCTTTTAACAAGCACTGGAGATATGTCAGCACTGACAGACAAGAAATATGAATAACACGAGAAAGTTGTTTGTTTTTCCTTTGCTTTCCCAGCGACATTCTGAAACACACACCAACTATTGTGAAAATTCATGCATTACTTCTGCAAAGGCAGGATATGTTACATTTCACAATGCCTAAAAAGTCATCTTGAACAGCTGTATGTTCTAGGCTTATGTATGTGGCATTTCCTGACTCTAATCCTTCCTCATTTCACTCTAGACCACAAGAAGTTTGGTGAAACAGCAGCTGCAAGACACTGAGTTTTGAGATCACATTTACTTCCCTGTTCTACTCACCCTTCTTCCCCAACAAACGTGACATAGAGTTTATTTCTCTGCAGGTCTTTTCTTGAGTAGCCCATGATCTGGTTAAAGGCATCTTCTAGCAAGTGATCTCTCCTGATGATTAATCTGAAGAGCAAAATAATTTTGAAACAGCAATTTGTGAACATGAACCACAGTTGGAAACACCTATTTACACTGCAAGGTTAACAGGGTGACTTCATAGAGATACATGTTTCTGCTGGATAATTTGATCCAGATCAGGCAGCTTCTCTCTGTTAGTCTATCTCCCTCAAGGATCGACTTTAGATTTCAATAAAATGTCTCTCGTACAAAGAAGCGTAGTTTTATTTTTTCTACCCTGGTTCTTCCTTAAATTAAAGGCTTCAATGGGAAAGGTCCTGAAGTGGGCATTTTCATTAAGTTTAAAATCCTTTTGTAGGGCTGAGCCTCTAAATCAGTCTTACTGTAAGCAAGAATCTAACCTTTTATCTTAGATGTAAAAATCAATCTCTTAACAAGGAAGAAGATAAAACTGTGGGAAAGTCACTGAGTGGTAACTCCAGAATCACACATCCCTACATTATCCCCAGTCTAAGTGTGACAGGACAAAAAGTCTAGAAGGAATGGCAATTGTTTGTCCAAAACCAGACTGAAGCATCACATGTGAAAACACAATGTACCTTCTAAAAGAAAAATCGTGAAAGTGAGGAAGTGTCATAAAGATCTAAAATAAGAGGTGAAAGAATCCTCCCTACTTAAACATTTTATCTTCTGCCAAAAAACTGTGTTTAATTAGTTTCCTGAAACTTAGCTTGCTCTATATTCAAATACTGCCTTATGTGTGCGTTTGATCAGTCAGCCAGACTGAAGCTGGGAGCTGCTACTGCCTGCAGAGAGGCAGCTTACCCCTCCACACAGCCTCTTGCAAAGCCCTTCCTGGCCTTACTACTTGTGCAGCGATCAGTTAGTGATTGCACTGTGCTATCCTGCAGAGGACACACGAGCGGAGAGGCCAGGAACTGGAAAGGTACCTGGGCAACAAGAGGACCCAGGCAGTATGCAAGTTGTGCTGGGGTCCTGGTTTGGGAAAAAAAAAAAAAGGGGTAAAAAGAGTAGGTCAGAGTGTGCCTGGGAAAGGAACCCAGAGAAGACTTCTGTTCAAAATCAAGCTGTTGTTCTGCTTAAAAATGCACAGTGTGATGACAAATAGGTCAGGAAAAAAGGGTGCAAGAAATGTAATGGATCTTACAAGTAGCAAATGCCATCCTCTTCTACCAGCTATTTGCGCAAGCATTCATGACAAAACTTTCATAGATTAAACCTTAAGTGTTTATGATTTCATTACATTATAGGCAGACAACGTCCAACCCCTGCCTTTTAAGACTGTCTAAACAATACCATTTCAGTTGTGGAAGACTTTTAACAAGCTCACAAAAATGAAGTCTGAGCTCTGCACAAATTCCTGCAAAATGTGAGAAGTGACTGGCTGGGGGGAATTAAGGAAAAAAAAAAAACAACCCCAAACAAAAAACCTACCCCCCTACTCTAATAGAAGAAGTGCTTAAAAAAAGTTCTAGTCCGTCATGGCTACTATGAGAGTATCAAACTCAGAGTTTGATAGCTGGCACAAGACTTGGTAATTTACCAAATTATGAAAGTATCTTATGATCCTTAATATAACCATATGTAATCACACAATTACCAAATAAATGAAGGAGGACTTCACTCCAAGCACTCTAGCATTCAGAGTGCTAAAGTAAAAATATTAGCAGATTTTTAAGGTGATCCTTAGAATTTAATAACATTTAATTTTATGAGTCCTCTTTACTAAGGAGGACTGTGATATCAATACAGGCAATGATGTACAAAAGATAAGCCTATCTAGTTTTTTCAGTGGAAAAACACATGAGGAAATGTAACTGTTTATATCATAGCAATTGCTACAATGGAAGAATTCAGATGCCTCCTGTTCTGCATGCCTCTTCCCAAAGTGCTTTTTGGCACTGTATTGGTAATATTATTTGTATGAAAATATAGTTGGAGGAAACATAGAAAAGAAGCGCTCAGAACTTGCTGTATCCTCTGCTATGAATCACATGCTGGCACTAAGTCTTTTATGACAGGCTTTATATTTCCAGAAGTGCAAGGGTAACCATAACATCTGCATTCCTTCTAATGGGAAGAAGTTTGTAGACATGCAAGGCAAGGCAAGCTGCCTGAGAAACAAATCCAGTTTCATGAGATTCTTCAACATACTTCAACTTCCCTGGGCCTTGTCCATATCCTTTAGTCTCCAACTTCCTGTAAAAGTTCCTCAGCTTGGCTTCAAAATCTCTTTTGTAAGGAGCTGGAGCTCGGGCATTGGCACGCTGAGTACCTGAAGGAAGCAATAAGCAAAGAATGAGCTGTAGTGACATGAACTGATTAATGTCCCATCCTCTACTGAAAAGACTCCTTAAGAGCATGGTATGTGTTTGGTTTAGTCACCTTTATAAAGAGTAAAAGCTGCATATCTTCAAATCTGCTCTGCATCCAAGACTTTTTGGTTGCTCATTTCCAATAGTATCATCTTTCTAAAGTAAGTCTTAAAAGAGCAAATCCAGGTCAATGCAAAAGATGGATTAAAAAAACAGCACAATCAACTGGAAAGACTTAACGTTTGTTTGTCAAGTACACTTTATGTTTAACCTTTAAAATAGCTCATGCAATAAATGCTCTGCTATGTTCTGGCTTTAATATTATCAGGAAAAACAAAAACTCAGAAATGAAGCATAAACAGACTGTACTCTGCTGGTGCCCCTGTTGAATACATCAAGCTGAAGAAGGAAGACTTTTGCAAATTCCCTAGTAGAAGTTTTTCCTTGAGGAAGTACAAGGAAGAAAAATATTTGAAGAATGGAAAGACTACCAAATTTAAGTTTGTGGAACTTTTCACGTGTGACTGCAGGAACATACATGATGGTCATCTCAGTGAATTTATTTTTGAAAAGCTGTTTTTGAGGGTCAATTTCTTAAAAGCAGGGAGAGATGAGATCTGTATGCCAAAAAAATGGCATACCCCCACATCTGCATGTACAAGTCTAGTATATACAAATTAGGGGTTTAGTTTGATCTATTCTGAATATTACAACCATTAGAACTTCCACCACCTCCCTGGATAAATTACTTCAATTGATTTGATGGCAAGACAGTGTGCCAAAGAAGCAGTTAATCCTAGCCCTTTTACGTTCATCTTCTCACCCCTAGTTTTTATAACATTAAATTCCTCCCCTGCATGGCTGTGTAGACATGCCCCTCAAAAAACTCAGAGGACATTTAAAATTTCTCATGCCCTACAGTATACATAGGTTGCCAACTACTTATCTGCAACTAGTGGTCATCTAACAGGCCCATAATGCACTGGAAATACAAATGAACAGTTTAGAAGCATGTATACGTAGACTTCTGTCTTTTAAGTGACAGTCAGTTCCTTATGTGAGTTTTCTTTTGGCTCCCTGTATGAAACTAAGCCAATACAGAAACATTTATTGGTACTATGGGTGAAGGTATGGGAACGTAACATTTCAGGTTACAAAAGAGAGAGAACGTGTATCTGTTCAGCCTGTGGGCAGAGACCGAGGCAAAAGAGAGCAGCTTGCTTAGCCACAGAGCATATGGGTCTGACGAAAAGGCGACGAGCACATCCTGCGGAAGTGGCTACTGGAAGAAGCTGCAGAGTTGATCTCTCTGCAGAGATCAGAGAGAGAACAAGCGAGATCAGTATTAACACTGAATGCCATTTACAGGTCTTTAAAAGACCTGTCTGACCAGAAAGACACTTGCCACTTGTTCTAGGCTGAGTGTGATGTTTGGGAGGAATAGAAAGTGTCAGGGAATCCTCAGAGCTCCAATGAGAACATGCAGGACCCCTATGAAAAACAAATCATGGTCATTGATTAATCTATAGTGGTTATGCTCTTTCACTGAGAGCACCAAGGGCTTCTAACGGTACGGTCAGCTGAATTCTCTAGAAAACTTACAGAAACTTGAAACTGTAAACAGCCTTTTAATTATTGGCCTTTTCCTCCCGCTTTGTTTATTTCGCTTTGGGTCAAAGTAGGCACAAAAATGTAGTCACCAAAAAAACACAACAAAAGCATACTTTAATCTTAACCCCTGAAGGAAGTTTTTGCCGAGAGATACCGCAGAACATAAATCTGGTAACACATTACTTCATGGTTCAGAAATCAGCAGTGTATTATTCTGTCAGCACATGACAAGTCCTCATTGCAAATCAGATGCATATGCCAAGAAATTCCTGGGCAATTATAGTGATTACTTCCGCCTTGGGAACAAAAGATGTTAATGGAAGAGCTAAAAAATGCCAGTGATGTGATAATCATATTTGATTTTCAAAGAGGTTATATTCTAAAGCAGATATAAAGAGTAGCTTCATGACTATTCATCTTTCCCAAAAGAGAAAGTACAACCAATTGTGACTGATCTGAACAATGGATCATTAACACGCAACCTCATGCAGTGCAGCACAGCCAGTTTAGCTGACGAAAAAACACAGAGCCTCCATAGAAATGATGGGCTATTTACAATTTCTCATCAAAAAAGTCATTTGTACACCAGCACAAACATGCATACTTGCAGACTGACAGGGAGATGCAATGGTCTCTCTATAATTTTCTATGAAATAGAATACACATTACAATTTTAAGGAGAACGGGACTAAAACCGTCACTGTTCATCCTTTACTCTGTGCTACTTCTTTGAGGCATAGATGAGAATATCACATGTTAAAGATTGAATGCATTTTTAAATTACTTTGTTGGAGTGAAGCTCTGCCCAGCATGCTTTGGTGCATGTACTAGTAATGAAGAAATTATAACTCTGAAAGCCAAAACTGTTTTTACTCATAAAAAACTGCCAGGTTTGCAGTTGGAAATAAGATGCATACATGAAGATTTCATTCTTCCTTTCTTTTCAACAAAGGGAAACAGTTATATCTAAACCATATATGTATCCAAAATACCAATACATGTGAATATTGTATTTTGCTGCTTTTCAGAATACCATAAGATCATTAAGGTCTTCAGATAGTTTCTTCCAAAAGGTCCTACAGAGGTCCTATGTCCAGTAGAAGGAAAAGCTACCACTCAGGACATGTTTATGAATGGTTTTAATCTGGTTTCTTGAAAAGGTAAAGCTTTTTATGATTGTGGACTGGGAAATGCCCATAAAAATCACAGTACTTTTTCTGGTAAAATTTTGTTATCTGGAACTACCTAGAGTTGCTTACATCCCAAAAGTTCTCTATTTATCTATACTTTCGTTCTGAAATTTGTAGAAATCCCCTTAAGCCACTTCTGATTTACTGCAGTGATTTTATTTTACTTACCTATTATCTTCTTGAGAAAACTAAGAACAGTGACATCTATAAGCTTCAAACAGCTGTACTTAGCCTTCAGAGGTCAAATCGAACTTGTCATATTTGAAATAATTTAGTTCTGATCCACAAGTTAGTTAGTATGTGAAATATCAATTTCATTCCACTCTGACATGTGTATTTCCAGACAGCTGCAATATGCTATCTTTTGAACTCATGTTAAGGGACAACAATCTAGCTTTACATAAAATTGTCACTCATTGCCCCACAGCCCCACTAACACTGGCATTTTAATGTACAATTATTAGATCTCATATTTTTAATTATCTAGGCATCAGGATCCTGGCACGAGCAGTCACTTTGTTGTTTCACATCAGTGAAAAACAAGTTTGCATGTTTTACAAGTCAGAACAAAATCACAACCTCTGAAGTTGTAATACACCAGTCTTTTCTACTAGCAAAACATCTTGTGAGCCCAAGGCAAAGGTTCAAGTTTGACAGTCAAATGCAATCACTGGTTGACTTTGCTCAAAAATAGGACTAAATCTTTGTCGTTGCTGAAGCAACAGAACTTGGAGCTTCAGAAAGGTGGAAAGTCATTACATGCAGCATAATGTAAACTAAATTATGGGACCGGCTCTACTGCAGTATCTTACAGATACCATCATAATGAAAGTACTGCAGTGACAAGCTCACTGACCACTCAGAAGGTGCTTCAGCTCATGTAACTTTACCCATCTAAAAGCTGGGAACTGCAAAGGGGAATGGGTTATAATTTCCAAATTCCAAAGGTTCTTGGCTTTAGGCTGCTGTGAATTTCAATTTGGAAAGCAAACAAAAAATTACAGTCAAACAATTTTTCTATTGTTTCTCTTCTCTGACTTCTGGGAAGGCAGCAGGAGTGTGCTACTGACTTTACTGATCTGGAACTGGTCCTTACCAGGTATGAGAAATGGTTTCGTACAGCCCTTGCAGAAGCTGTGCCTGAGCAACTTACCTGGAGAGTTCTGAGGTGAAGACACCGGTGAGCCTCTCGGGGACTGGCAATAACTAGGATGAAGTAAGGCATGTGGCGGCACATATGACATTATCTCTTCCTCAAACAAGCTGGTAAAAAGGAGCAAATAAGAAATAACATGTTTATTTGAATAAATGGCATTTTTCACTTTCTAGAAATAAATCTCTAGTTACTAACCTGCTTTCTTTGGTAGTTGCTTGCCTATTTCCACTATGCACACTTAGAGTGCTACTAAATTTTTTATTGCCATTCCCTCAATCAGATCTTGAAAGTACTGGAAAGCAGTAATTACTACCTTTGTGGGACATACATAATGTGGTATTTGTTTTCAAGGTTAAAATATAGCTAAACCACCTTTAAAATTTGCCCGCCCCCCCCCTTTTTTTGATTTAACTTGTGTTGTCATTACAAAGGGGTCAATAACCTTAGTCACACTTTCCTGGAAAAAGATCTGCAACATAGCACAAAGATCAGGAACAGAGACAAATGTTCTAAGCCTCCAGGATTAAGAATCACATCTGAACTTGTTGAGTGTACTGAATAGCAAGCTTGTTGGCATAAGTTATTTCTTTATTTTATCTTTAATGCTAACACTGTTGCTGAAACAAGTATCACATCTAGTCTGTTCAGGTTGAGTTATTTCATGCCTCATCTATTATTGCCACACAACTTTTAAGAGAAAAACAATAAACATTTTGCAGCCTAATCACTGCATCTGTGTACGTAGAGTCTGAATATATACTAAAATTTCAGTCTTTTCCCAAAATTGACACAAGCAAATCCAAAAAGAGACGATAGCTAATGTCAGAATGGATCTGATATCAAAGCCTATGTTGGATGTTAAACACAACACAGATAAGAATAAACTGTTCAGATAATATGTAAAATTTATTTTCAAAAATTGAGCTACAGAAAGAATCACAAGCCAATCTTTTACTATAGAGCTCAACCAATGAAAGCAATGTTCAAATAAAAGATGTTTCTTACTAAGTTTGTTCACCGAACAAATACCCAAAAAAATTTTTTGCATGAGATTTTTCTTTTGGAATGGGTGTTTTCTGGCAGTTCTTTTTACATTCATGAGCATGTGTTGTTTTCCTCCACGTTACATTTTGATGCTGAAAATGTGATAAAATATAAAACACTATTTCAATCTTGGATTAAATTAAGAGCTAAAATAATGATTTGTGTTTCACACCAAATAAGATGTTTAGAAGAAGAAACTGAAAAATATTTTCTTCTTAACACTTGAAGCATAATACAATACCATTCTTAGAGTATTTTTAAAAATGTGATGCACTGTACCTCCTTCAGTCCCTAAACACATACGGGTTAGTTTGTCTGGTTTTAGTTAGTTGCAACTTAATATTTAATGAAGCATGTGAAAAAATGTGCAGTGTTCCCAAGCAATAAAGGCATCAGAAATAGTGATTCCACCCAGTTATTACTAGATCTCAAGAGTCCTTTACAGGAAAATTGTATCAATCCCCCCAACTGAAAAAACAGAGGCATGGAAATGGGTACAGTCTTCCCCAAGGTCATCCAACCAGCCAACCTAGACATAGAACCCAGGTGTCCTGAGCCCCAGGAAGATTGAGCCATCATGATTAGAGTGCAGTTTTTTCAGGGTTTCATAGAGAAGGGTCATGATGACACCCTGCTGGAAGATACTGTTAAAAGTAAAAATCCACCGAGACTAAATAAGGGTAAGAAAAGAAATTTCATCATTTCAGTACACCACTATTTTAATTTAGCCCACCTTCGATTTTACAGCAGTATTTACTCACAATAAGCTCATAATAACTCAGTTCAGTCTTGAGGTATAACATCCAACAGTTTAAGAAACTAATGGATGCATAGATAACATTTTATCAATAATATGTCCTCGGGGCAATGCTACTATTAGATTATTAATAAAATAGGAAGAAAATCCTCAAGCAAAGCTCTTCAGTTAGATATTTTGGGAGGAAAAAAGTAGATTAAGAGAAATAAAATCTAAAGAATATGATAAAGTTAGTCTAGGGAAGCACTGGCTACTGCTTTTCTCCTAAAAATTAATTATACTGATTATTGCTTTTCCACAAAGGAAAGAATGCAGTCGAAATTTTGAATTTGCTTTATTTCCACTGTAACAATTATTTGCAGTCTTTGCTGTTAACAGAACACTAGAAGGAATAAAACCCAGTCAACGAGCAATGATAAAATCATTCATGCAGTCTTTATTTAAAAACAAATATCTGAAGCCTGATTTTTCTGTATAAAACCTATGTCATCTCCATGCGTTATATATCAAAACAAAAATCTTAAAAGTTTTTTTTGAGAAACTATATTCTCATTTTAAAAAAACTTCAGCATGGCTTTAAAATGAGATTTTTATAGCTGTAATTAATTCAGAGATTTAGAGACCGGAAAGGATTATCATTATGCAACCTGACCTCAAAATACTATTACTAATGCCAATCCTATTTCACTAGATTCAATTTTAAATACACTCGTGAATTTCTTGATGCACTTTTACAATGGATGAGAACACACTGAAGAAACAAGGATTTAATTCTAGCAAAAAAAAAAAAGCCTGATTTTTTGAGTTAATTGCTTCAATGAAAAATATTAAAGAAGCAGCTTCCCATTTCTTGAACTCTGTAACAATATTTCCTTTATTAACGAGGACAATGCTTGGCAGCATAGTGAAGAGGCAGCAGGACATTAGGTAATAAAAATATATCTCAAGTATGAACGTTCACAGATATGGATTTCCAAAACCACAGAACTAAACAGATGCATTCTCGAAGCAGCAGAAGGTACATTCTTGCAAAGAGGTCTAAACTGTACCACCTACCTAAATGTCAGAGCTGGACGCAACAGGACAATAAAAGGTGGTCTGGACAAAGCCATATAAATCGCAAGCACAGTGCTCTTGCACTTGCCTTTCCTCAGACAGAATATGACGCTCCATCACTGTTATGAAAAAACATGACCTCCAAGCTAGCAACTACCATCTAGAAACTGAACATGAAGAAAATAAAAAATCTGACCCTTGACTTGTAGCTCTCCCAGCTGCAATTCCAAGTACTGAAGGGGAAATGATAGGTCACTAAACCAGCACACACTACTCACTGAACGGCTCCTCAGCAGCTGCCGCAGCATATTCCATACATGCATCGAAAGCAGCAGTGCCTACCTGAGTAACATGACAAGGTCTGCATCACTGGATAAACGCACCAACCCAGGTGTTCCCTCCGTCCGGATGAACTGGATCTTCTCCCTGTGTAAGCAGAAGATCTTTTGCAAATAAGGCACCAATGTACACCACAGCAACAAGAAAAAGTATAGGGTATATCATAAAAACCTCTGGGTTATGCTTCTGTATTTCAGAAACCATTTTTTTCCCTGCCACACCATGTCCATGTGAGCAGCAAAATATTACAACCAAAAAGCTAATTTGTTCTGAGGAATGATTCTGCTGTTGCCCTTATCTCTTCAATGCCCAGGCTGCTTCAGGTAGTACAGCCTGCAGCCATCCAATCAGTTAAAAAAAAAAAAAAAGAAAAACAAACAAAAAAAATCAATCCTTCAAGTTCACACTAGCTGTGTCCCTGAATTCAGAGTAGGAGGCTGAGCCCTGCAGGAGGACATTACTATTCTGAAAGTGAACTGTTTAAAGAAGTACTGTCTTTTTTGAATCTTTGTTCAAATGCAAGCTATACATTACAATGCACAGTTGTGATTTTAAAAGTGGGGTTTTCGTAACACACTGCATTTAAGAGATCTTCCAGAAAAACCCTTGTACTATTTCTCCCCCTTCGTCTCACCCAAGCACACACCCTTCCTCCCAGACCCAGTTCGGTCACTATTGTGGAATCTACACATCCTAAACTCTGAGCATAGTAACACACAGATTTTTAGGATCTATATTGAATATAATTCCTTGACTGATTCCTTTTCTTTTTTCCTGTAGAGTTTTTTCCTGCATTCTGAAATGAAAGTACATCTCTCTTATTATCTCTCTATCAGTACAAGGTACAGTAGAGAGAAATTCTAATTTGGCTTTACTCTTCAGGAGGAAAAGAAAACAAAAACCAAACCCGTGTAGTAAAAACTGTCCCAGTTCCAAAGGAGAAAAACCCCAAACAAACAGAAAAGTAAAGAACTCCACATAAGAACAGGAGCACTGGCTCAGCTCAGAGGTCCATCTACCGCACTGTCCTATTACCAACAGTGACAAGAAGGTCAAAAACGATCCGTGCAATCGACAGCATAACAAGGCTGCTGCTGCTGGCAGCTGCACACAGATTAAGCTGCAGTATTAATTTCTGGAACACATCATTTCATGCACAGCAGTTTCAACAAAAGGATCAAACCAAATTTCTTGACATCTGTCTCTAAAATCACGGTGCATAAAGACCTTCTCGAACAGTGGACCTATCATACCTTCCCTGGTAACTTGTGCTACGTTTACAGCATATTCAAGGGTGAAAAAGGGGCACAGCCAGGCTGTGCCCAGAGCCCCCCAGTCCCTGCTTGCCAGGGTGGCAGCTGTGGCTGTAGCCACAGTAATTCAGTGTTTGTCTACGAAGAGAGGTACTGAAAGTCAAGCACCCGCTTTGTTGCAACCACAGTGTTGACCAGTCAAGACTTGAGTTTAGCCTGGAAGCCCCGCAGTTCCACCAGCACAGCGCTGAGCCAAAGCCAGTATGCGCTGCCCACCTGCGAGCACAGCCCTGGAGTGCCCAGGGCAGGGACGTCTGGACACTTCCAGAGCCTACTCCAACTTACATCAGTACCTAAATGGCAAGGTTTGAGGAAATAAATGGTGGATTACAAAATACATCTTAGCATTTAGCTGGCATTTAGAAGGACGTTTTCTGGGTTAACTAACGTATGCAGCCCTCCAAATGAATGCAATCCATGATTTCTTGGGGTTACCAATGAGAGTTCTGATTTCAATAATAGTTTTTTAAATATATGCCTTTTACCTTCTGTTAAGAAACAAATTATGTTTAATGTGTAATATGTGCCTTTGCCTGAAGCCTTTTACATTATTTAACAGCCTCTCAGTTTTATCTGTGGTGGCTTGCAATGAGATTTGATCCTGGCTACATGCTTAATAGTAGTATGATAAATACAATGTTCTCACTCCACCATAAAACCTCTGAACAACAATTTCCTACCTGTAGTATACTTTCATTGTAGATTTTAATAGACCCTCAACTTCTTATCACATCTCTTCGTTCTTTTTAGGAATGAGAAATTATTTTAGACAGAAAATGTTAGAGATCTTTTCAGATTATCTCTGTCCTCTTCCACTGGCCAAATACTGATTTTCCTCCTCACCTCTGTAATAATTTTAGCAGTAATAATAATATTTAATATCTTCATCATTCTACTTTAATTGCACTGAGGTCCTCAAAGAAATAGACTACAGACAGTTGTACTGATCACTCCACTAAAAAAAAAAAAGACACAAAGAATTCATAGTGTGGGATTTCACTTAGGTCTTAACTCATCGTTACAGCAATGTCATTGGAGTCGCTTAGTCTCACAATGTGTCAAATAGACATGGATTCCAATAACTTGCTAAATCAGGATCTTAAAAGACTAACTAGGAAAAATGAAACTGAGATCTTTATAAAAATATAAGGACTGTTACTAAAGCATCAGCTCTAAAAGAATATAGGAGAGATATAATGCAATTCTTTACCTTAATCAAATATACCAACTTCAAAGACTAAGACCAGAATGGAACCATTTGGCTTAACTGGTTTCTCTGACCAATCCTACTTAATGTAAAATAAAACTATGTTCATTAAAATCCTCAATCATTCTGCTAAAGCAGGTAAGTTAGACATAGATCTTCAGTCTATTTATAAAGTAAGTATACAGAAGGATATACAGTCTCAAGTAAATGAGGAGTTACAAAAACAAGTATATTTTATCCTTTGACCTTCCATTTTTAATCTGAAAACTATTTTTTCTTGAGAAGGCCTCAGCTTGTGGCAAATTATGATTCTGTAATCAGGAAGCAAGGTTCTACAAGAAGCAGAATGCGATAATACCACAAGTCTTTTGAACAGTCTGAACTCTAAATTATCAAAAAACACAAAACACATGAAGAAAATGATTGCTATCAGAGTAAAGGAAGTCAAGCACCCCGGGGGAAAGGAAAAAGGAGTAATAAAACTACTAATAATAACAAATTGTTTGTATACTATTTCCCAACAGATTAATTTGCTCACATTTCAAACCAAGCCTGGTGGGACAAACTTGCCTGCAGTGATACGGGTGCAACATAGGAACTGTTTTGACAGGCTGAGAACTGTAGATTTTTATTTTCCTCCTTTTCTCTGTCTTTTCTGCAGAATGCGTATTTTGCTAGCACGTAATTTCAGGTTTGTCAGCCAGGATTTATTTAGAGGGTAAAACACATCTTCAGCATAGAAGCCTCATCACAAAACTTGTTAGAACACAATGCTTTGGGAAACTGCAAAACAGGGCAGCTTGTTGAATTTTGGGAACTTCCAGGACATGGAGGAAAAGGGATCAATAATAACACTATGAGAAGGGGGGGAGGGGGCGGGAAGGGAAAATTGGTGCTGGCTGCTGTGCCAGCCAGCGTGGCTAGGCATCTGGAACACAGAGTGCTGCATTGGCAGCTCTCTGCACAGGACAGACTGCAACCATCAAACCAGCATTTTTTAAATTTAGTGTGCAAGGAAGAATAAATAGTCATTTGAGCCCTAGTCACTAATATCCACGTTGTTAGTTATTCCATCTTTTACACCCAAGTACATGAACTAAAGTGTCTTTGGGCGGGATACACTTTAAGAGGGATCTTGCCACTTTCTGAATTTCACTTTTTATCATTCCTAGTCTAACCATATGAGGGAGTTATAACAACCACATAACAATCAAAGATCATCCTTCATCAGATCTTGTTGGACTACACAAAAACCTGTAGATACCCATTTTTTAAATTTTGGAGAAACACTAAAAATTCTGATTGATGTAAGATTACCTCCAGGATCATTAGGTCAGGACAACCTTTCTGTAAATGCACATTGAGAAGATAAGGACAAACCCAAATGCCATTCTGCATCGCAGTCCCAGCTGTACACATACTCAACTGAATGGGCACATACGCCGTGCCATCCAGCTGTCTTGGCACATTTTGAAGACATCAGCAACTCTCTTATGTCAGTTGTTCCAAACACTTTATTGTAGATACCTTTATTTGGTAATAACACATTACCTCTCTTCTCGTAAACCTTATTTCAGGGAGTTACACAGAAATACAGTAAAGAACTAATTCCCACAGCTTTATGAATATGTTTGAATAGGCCAAAAGTCTACAATCTTCTACGTTCCACTGCTAATTTTAATGAAAGGAACTAATTCTAATTAGCATTTTGTATTGAAATGGGAATAGCAGACTTCACTAATTTTATTACCTGAGTGAATGATTCCTGGTAAGATCTGGTTGACGCTCTTGTAGAATTTCAAAGATATTGGGCTGCCGCAAAAACGCAACAATCTTGTCATTGTAAGCTGAAAACATCAACAAAAATATGATGCTGAAACAAGGAGATACTAAAAGACAGGACTGCGTTCCTTCTGAGTTTTCAACAATAATGACAGCAGACTTCACCTTCGCGGTTAAGTTTAGCAGTATTTTGTTAATACTTTTTCATGTAAGGCTACCGATTCTACTATCATTTAGGGAACACACTTCTTGATTATGAACCAAATCTGATTGTGGCAAGTCCTTCCCACTGTTAACAGCTTTAGTTTTGTTAGCAATTTCTATTATATTTTATCACTCGCACGCTTAGCTAAGGTCGAACTAGAATATTCATTGCTAGAATAAAATTGCAGGGACCTTGGTTTTCACTGCACTGAAATCCATTCTCAAATATTAAACAGTCACTGGAAACACCCATATCAAATCCTCACTAATTGCTGAGCCTGCAGTGTATGCACACCATGTCCATGGGAAGGGGAAGGATTTAAATGAGCAGAGATTTTCAAGTAAACATGCCACAGTACAAAGAGCCAGTTATAGTCAATCGGATTAATTTATCTTGATTTAGCACAATGTGACAGCTGTTAGATTCAATAAGCTAAATTCTGTTCCTGGTGGCACAGAAGTCAGTAACTTTGTGTGTATGCAACGGAGAACAGAAGTTAAGCTAATGACTAATTCCAAGCTGATTAACACTTTCTGGAATCCTGCCAAAACAGATGCCCAGAAGTTGTACAAAAATCACTGGGAATACATGGGAGTCCAATTAGGACACAACTTGGCTCACTGGCTTCAACTCTTCCTGTCACCGCTTAGAGTAAGTTAGGACGGTAGAAGTTTTACATCAGTTATTTGGTTCTGCACAGACACTTTTCAGTATTATTCCTGCAGGTTGCAGCTGAACAACTGGGAAATGCTGATGGACAGAAGTAATCCTAACAAATGATAACTTCCACCCACCCCAACCAAATGGAAAACCCAGCAGTGCACACTGACAGGACACACTCATGGTGCGTCATGGAGAACTTCTCTGAAAAGAGGCCGTATGCTGACATACCCACTGGAACCACATCCTGGTACTGAGCTCTGCTGACTGTATTAAACGTGCTCGATGGCCTTGGCAAAACTGGTGGTCCTGAATGACGGGAGTCCTCTCCGACCTGAAAATGCGCAAGTGACCACAATGAGTGTCTCCATGCCAGCACATGTACTCTGGTACATAAAAGAGAGAACTCACAGGGCTTAAAACTAAGTATGTACATAAATGCTTTGCTTAATCACTATCCCCAGCAACCACTGCAGCAACAGTTATTAGTAAAACATTATTTAGTATACTGTGCCTATTAATATGAAGAATCAAAACTGATTGAAAGTTCATTGCTATTTTTAAATAATAGTCCCATTCTGAAAAGGGCCTAAAAAATTCAAACTGGGATTCCTTCAGAGGATCTTTTGTACTTCATGGACATCTTTATCCATATCAAAGGTTCTGAAAATCAAATTCTGCTCCTTCACTAGCACCACATACCTCTGTGTATGAATGGAGTTTCCCTAAATTTGAACTGGAAACAAGTTTGTGGCTGAAGCAGGAGGATAAAGAAGCGAGTTCACATTCAGGCAAGGCAAATGAGTCCAAAACTGGTAAAAACATGTTTCCTACAATCATTCAGTAAAACTGTTCTGATTTTTTTTGTGTTCTCCTTGGGATTAAAAAATGTTGCATATGAACATTTTTTAGGGTACAACCACAATGTAAAATTGTTCCTGGTAGCATTTGTGATGTCAGGGCAACTTCTGCAGTTTTCTGTGTGCTGAGGCTTCAGTCATTTCTACAGTATCAGTATTTTGTATTTTATCTATATAAAACATTTTGTTCAATCTCTCTTTCATCCTGCTGGACCTTTATGTTTACTTCTCAGTTCCTCTGCCTACATGTAATGGTTAGCATTTGAACTACACTTCCAAGCTTCAAAGATCTCTAAAACATCTAACTGCAAAAGATCAAATAATTGTAAAGGTTGTTTTTAAATCCAGTCTCTGAAATCACAAAAAAGCAAAAGTCCTGAGATATCTCCCAAGATCTTTGTGTTCTCTGATAATACTCTCTCAGGAAAATGAAAAATTATTTCCTGTAGGCACTGTGCTGGAAAAGGAATACCATTATTATTAGCTCCAGCTTCACGCTGTAGTTCAGCTTTAGCTAAAAAGGCATTCCTTACACTGGTTAATGTTTGCTTTAGAGCATCTCCCTGTAAAAACTAGGTCAGTGGCTTCAAAACATCAAAGTTCGTGGCAAGGCAAATCCAAAGAAAGTATTTTGAGAATTTTTTTCATTAAGTATTCATCTTTTGCAATAATATACAGTTCCTTGATGCAATGGTTTAAAAATAGGAAAAACAGCTGCAAATATGCAATACTTAAGTCGTAAGTGCAGAAGAAAAAGTGGTGTTCAGATTCATACATATGCATATAAATGAATATCATTACATCACTAATCCCACAACAGGAGTAATGTATTGAAGTGCTATGTTTGAGACTCCTATCTGGAATTATTCTTGTATTCAATTCAATTTAGAATTGTAACAATATCAAGGAAATACTTCTAAAATTACGTGTAGAAACATGGTTTAAGGAATTTCATGTATCTAGATGGAGTGGGAAATTTTGACAGGTAATCAGTATTGTGTATTTGCAATAGGTATGATGACTTTCTGTAGGATAAACTACACTTATTTTGCAGTATTGACAACTTCAGCAGCACGGCTGACACTGTTTTAACTGCAGAGCTTCTGCACGCTGCTTAAAGAAAGATCATATCAGTGCATATTTGGTAAAGTCAAGAAAAAGAATTTATTTTTGCTCTATTATAAATCGGTCACAATAGAAATACTTGCTTTACCCTATTGAAGATCTAAATAGCTATATGAAGACACTTCTAGCTTCCTTGCCTGCTGTAAGACATCATTGCCTACATCACATCACCAAATTGATGCAAAAGGCTATTTAAAACCATTTGTAAAATACACCTTATATTGGGGCTGGGGGGTGAAAAGTATCATGGGTGACTAAAGGATGTTCACACAGGATATGACAAGATACACAGCCAGTGGTATGGCACTCAGGCGCGGCAGCTCAGCGGAAGCCCTGTTAGAGAAGTGGCAGAGAAGTTTCATGCCTGCTCTGAAACAGACCTCTGGCAGAACTTCATCTGCCACAAGACTGAGCTATAGAAAGGATAAATATAGAAAGGAATAGCCCTCCTCTGAAGACAACGTATGGAGCTTAAATAAAGTACAACTGAAGTCTAAGTCATTGCACACACACTTGCTCACAAGTATAAAGAAGTTACAACAACAATACGGAGACTGCTGGTGAAAATGGTCCACAGTGACATATCAACAAAATAGTGTTTTCCATGTATTTCTGTTTAGAAAGCAGAGATGAAATACATATGCAAATGCATATAACAGTCTGATAAGCATATATGTGGTAAGATTTTTTATACTTATTCAGAAAGTTGCACATCTAGATGTGTATACACACATGCACTTCCCCCCTCCCCCCCCCTCTTATTTGCAGAGTTATATCAACATACTTGGCAGACACCCTGCTAGACAACAATATATATTTAGACAGCGAAAGACAGGATACAGATACTGGTAATCTGTAATCAGATGCTCTCCTGTGGTTAAATGGGGTTACTACGAATTAAAAGTAAGAGTAACTCATGTCTGATATTTTTCCTCTGAAATCATACATTTCAAAAGCAACAATGGCTAGCAAATTAATAAATATTTACGGATGAGGACCGTACGCTTACAGAAGAATCATGCTCCTCACAACACGGAATGATGTGAAAGAAGAAGATCCTAAAAACCCAGTGGTTCCCGAAGAGAAGGGGCAGATCCAACTTACCTCACCAGCGCTGTGGCTGCGTTGTCTAGTTAAGTGCTGCCGATGGACTAACGCACTAGTGGGCCTGCTACTCTGCAAGGGAAGCCGGGGGTCAATGAACGTGGTAGTGCGGGAATTGTGGTCAACAAAGAAAGCCTAGAGAAGGAGAAAGAAGAATTTATAGCCAATACTTTTTTTTAATATGTCCAAGGTAAATGTCTATTCAGGATCTAGGTTTCATTTGCTGATGTGAGGCTTTGGAAAATCTTCCTCACATTACTGTGGCTTTTCGGAAGAAGAGCTTTCCATCTCACTGAAGGGATGAATTCTTGAATGCCTTACTTCATCCATGTCTATAAAGCCCTTTGAAATTCTCATCTGACAAGCATCAGAAGTAGGAAGCTTTATTATGATTGTCAAGAAGAGAAGACTTAAATGTTTAATAAAAGTAATCCTGGTGTATTCTCCTTTTCATTTCCTTATAAGCATCCAAAAAGATGTCATTAGGTGGCAAAACCATTCCCTTTTGTGAACTATTTATAGTTATTATATTATATATAGTTA